TCCTGCTGATAGTACATTTCTAAAACAGCTGTGCAGGCTAAAATTTCCAGAACTCCTGGGGAACTCCTGGGGATTATGAAATAATTGTAAAAGGGTTTATATTTGGCTTCATTGCAGTGTGGAGACTTGCTTGGGCTATTAAATTACCAGAATTTCACTATGTTTCCACATGCAGATTTGGTAGTAGAAACAGGGTACACGTACCATCAGTCTAACTGCAATATATTGTTTAGAAGAATGTATGTCATCTTGTGTTTCCACAACCACAGTTCAGTAGACATCACTCTCCCAATTTTCGGCTGGTTGGTTTTCTTTTCTTAACTGTGTACTTTCAGTACAGTTCTCAGATTGAGTAAAAACAACTTCCTTAAATTCTCATTTCCATTGTAAATGTTCAGGGTCTTGGTGTTTCCCTTTCACTGAAATTCCCTAATGGCTTTCATTAAACTTCTCGTTTAACTAGTGAGTTGTCTTCCCATCTCAAGGTGGCCTTTTTTCCTCTCTGGGGACACTGTGTAAGAGGACTGGGAGTTTTCCACAGAGGAAAGAGCTCCTCCATTTAAGAGTGAGTGGCTGCTCACTGGACCTGTGTAACTGCAGGGACCCTCTGTACGCTTTACACAGGTCCTTCAGGCTCCAAAGCCTGCTTAGCCACTGATATCCTGCTCTTTTGAACAGTTCATATATCAAGCAAACTCCTTCTGTCCATCAGCCTCCCAAACACAGCAAGTCCTGATGAAGTTGAATTCATGTGGAAAGGCTTGCTGAGGAGGAGGAGATCATTGCCTGGGTAAGAGAGGAAACGCTGACAAAAACCTGCTGCATGCTGGACCCCACTGTACTCTTCATGGCCGTCCTTTCAGCACAGGTTTGTGCCCTGCTTGCTTTGGAAAGGGCCAGGACAATGCAGATTAAAGTCAATGCAGATGCAAGACAACTGACAGATCATACTGCCACAAAACGCAATCATTTAGAGAAATATTCGGTAGCATGGTTAATTTACAGAGACTTGCTTGCTAAAAAAAGTGCATGTGTATAACCAGGAGTTGACTGCTTTAGAACCGAAAGCATAACAAAGCAGCGTTTTATTTGGAAGTCATAGCCCTAGGGACCAGAATGGAAATACTTTACCCACTTCTGCTGAACTACAGAAACAGACCTTGTAAAATTAGTGTATTTGTGTGTGCGTGTAATCACACAGTGTTTCATGATCTGGGCTTAAAAGCATTGCAGGTATTGACAGTTTAACAAGGTTTTTAAGTGTCAGCCTTGTGTTTAGTGAGCAACTTAAAAACCAGGGCTTTCAAAGATAAGCTGGAAATCTTGCCAAACATATCTGCAAAAATTGTTCCTAGACATATTCAAACAGCTCTAACAGGGTGCAGCTCTCCGTGCAATCTGCTACCTCAGCATAGCAAGGTTATTCGGCTGTGCTCACGGCACAGGACATGGGTCCCAGCCCTGGCTCAGAGCCCAAAACTGCAGCTGGTCTGCACTCGGGACTGCTCCTGTTGAGCTCCATAGGATCCCACAGCGACAGCAGCAGCTATAAACTATAGACTAAGAGTTTGACCCTGGGTAGGTTACCCGCTGGCTTTCCGGTGTTTCAGATTTCTCAGGAGGATATCTAGATAAAAAGCAGGAGCTGAAGGAGAATTGGCCATGCTGACCTGTTGTAAGTGAGTAATTGGGGGGTGGGGTGGGGTTGTACCTCTTCACTGAAAGGACAAATACACTAAGAAGTAAATGAAGAGCTGATAGGGCTTTTTTACTCAATGAGTGAGAGATTTAATTAACTGTAATTCATTAGTATCAAAAAACATTTTAAATATTTTATGATAGACTTCGTATACATAACTGAGTCTAAGAGAATTAATCTCTATGATGTCTGTGTAATGGTACATGTGTTCAGGATGTGTTTTTCCCCTATTTGTCTTTCTAAAACTAAAGTTCAAAGAATATTAACGAATGCTGTAAAATGGATTAAAAAAATGTATGCTACAACTTTAACACGTCTCACACACCATTTTGAAACACTGAAGTAGTACCTTCACTTAACCAAGGAATTCTCACCCCCAGATCTAACTGGGGAGTATGCAGGACAGCGGAATCATTGCTTAAGCTGCTCCCTAATGGCAGAAGAGGCTGTGACCTGCAGTAACCGAGTCATTTCACACCCACAATAAGGAATTGCTTTCTGAAACGTCAGTGCTGCTCATTCAGAACTTTGTTCCTCGGTCTGGGAGAACTGATAAGAAGGACAGCAACTGCCACGCTCGCTAAAAATTGCTGATGCCCAGGAAGCATAAGCTCACAGGATGGCCAAATGCTGTGGAAAAACCAAAAAAGAGACGACTTCTGTCTACAATCACGGGAAATGTGCCTCCCTCATGGAGACGTGCTGTGTCTCAACTGACTGGGGTTACTCTGCATTTCTCTCATTATGTTGGGAGCCTTTTCCTGCCTGAAAATCCAGTAAGACTTTCGGACAGTTTTTGAGGAGTGGGAAGACAAACCCAAGCCCCCTTCAGAGGGCAGGAAGATAAAGCAAAGCTGAGCTGCAGAAAGCCAGAGCTGGTAAAGGCAGGGGAATACCAGAGTGGGTGGGCTGGTGGGGGAGTTCCAGAAGCTCAGCCACCATCAGGTCCCAGAGCAAACCTGGGTACAGGGAGGAAGGTTCATCATCATGGACATCATCAAGAGCAGCATCCCCCAGTGCTTGACTCCATTCCCTAAGGCATCTCCACAAGCAGGCAAGTCATTCAGGCAGAATTAGCCAGGTTAATTTAAACCATTTAAATTCACCATAATTCAAGGTAGGGAAGAATCAACTTTATTCTAAACATTCCCATGCTGTCGCTAACCTTATTGAAGAGTGCCTGCACAGGTGTCCACTTTGCTCTGAACTGGAACAAATGTGTTTAGAAAAATGATTTTTTATAAACTTTTTTTTTTTTTTTAAAGACATTAAAAATCTACTCTGTCCTTTCTGGTCTTATTATGGAAACCTAGTGGATTATTTCTACAAACAAATAAAATAAGCAGCCAGCTTTTGATAATAACAAGGGAGACATTGACCTGAAGTGGTCACTGTAAAATCTGTGACTGAAGGATCCTGCCAAGGTATCAGGAGCTGCCAGGAAAGGTAAGTCTTCACTGGAAAATAGTTGAATTTGCAAATTGGGACAGTTAACTCCAGTTAGCTCCTTGGGCTGAAACACTAATGAAAGCACAGCAAGGTGTAGTTCTGAGGTCAGGGGAAAGCTTACAGCGAGCTGGGAATCAAAGTTAATATCAAAAAGGGTTCATTGAAGTTCACACTGAGTTGCTTTGCTTTTTCTGCTATTATAACTATGTTAGCTAAGGCAGGTTAGGAAAGCCTGCCAAGAAATCACTTCCAGACGCAGTGAAAACATGCAGGAACACGGGTGACCTCTCAGACTCCCAGGACACTGGCTAATAGCCACTTAACTTCTCCCATGACGAAGCTCCCCCAAGACTCTACCTTACGTGCCTGTGCGATAGAAGTGTTGTGATTTGACCACAGAATCATCTAGGTTGGAAAAGACCTTTAAGATCATCAAGTCCAGCCGTTAACCTAACCCTGCCATCCCACCACTAAACCATGTCCCTAAGCACCTCATCTATCCTTCTTTTAAATACCTCCAGGGATGGGGACTCGACCACCTCCCTGGGCAGCCCATTCCAGAGCCTGACAACCCTTTCTGTGAAGACGTCAAAGCTGGCAGGTCTGTTGGGCTCCTCTCCCTGCCACGGTGCTCTGCTTGCACCCGTGCAGGTATAAGGCTATGCCTGCCTTGCTAGGCCTGCCTTGTGTGATCATGGGAGCACGTTCTTGTGCTCTGCCTTGTCCCCAGGCACCTCAGACAGTCTAGGCTGTTGTAACTTCTAAGCTAATTGGTTTTGATTGCCTGTCCTTACAATGCCTTATGGTTTCTGTATGCTTTAAGTTCATGATTGGTTCCTTTGATTTCTTCTCTAAGAAGTTAATATCACACTTCAAAGGCAACAAACAGAAGCCTTGTGCAAGGAGACTGTAATGGTACATTTTGGGATTGCATAATTTTGGCATGAACTCTGGAAAATTCTCCTTTAGAGCCACATCTCCTAGCTGGCAGTCAGCTTATCTCTCAAAAGACAGTAACCCTTATTTTACCTACTGTAACTTCAGTTATTCTTGACATTCAAAACCACTTCAAGTTCTCTTCTACTCTACTAAGCTCTGAAATCCAATAGCATTTTCTATTTTCCCTGAGCACAATTTAATGACATTAGGAAGTCGGGATTCCCCCACCATAACAACACGGACTGCCTGAGTCATTCAACTTAGTCTCATCAAAAAGCAACAATTCGGTAATTTGGTCTGGGGAAGTCTGCTCCTGGCCCTGCTACACTCCATGGAGCAGAACACAATCCAAAATCCCACTTCAGACACAAACTTTAGACTATAATAAAAGAGCAAATGCTACAACTACAATAGGCCATTGGAGAGAAAGGATATATGGAAGGTATTACTATTTCCCTGGATCCCTGAAAGAGCAACAACTCCATCATCTTAAATTTTTACATTCCCACAGGTACACAATCCATTCTACACTAGGCATCAAAGGCATATAGGGAATCTGCTACTTCACCTACTGCAGAATAAGAAACTAGGATATGAATTCTGAGACAGGCAATTGAATTGAAAACATATCAATCGGTGATTAATGCATCATCAGATGTGAACTGGTAAATTATTACTGGAATGAATGGAAATGTAGTTCCAGTTGTCTACACCCACTGAGAGTTTTGCTGTTTATGGTACTGCATGGGCTAAGACTTTAAGCAGAGAGCTTCAGTTTTCCAGCTGG